GATGGGTTGATATCCTTGGAAGAAAACATCCATGTTTTCTGGATGAAGCAGGAATTTGTTAGCTGTTGCCTGTGCATCCAAACTCACACATGTGTATAATGTAATATTAATAATTATACAGTACACACACACACACACACACACACACACACACACACACTATGAGCTCTCTGCATTTGGTTCAAATCCCAGAACTTCAGCCTCTGTGAGGTCTGACCAGGCTAACCCAAATCTTTGCTTGCTTCTCAGGAGGCCACACATCTGTCTCCACTATCTGGCATCTGGGCAACTCATAATAAGTTTAAAAAATGTTTTCTCCTGGAGCTGAGGGTGATTATGAGAGTTCTGGGACAGAATAGAAGATCCTGCCCTTGAGCCACCCAATCATCCCCACGACTTCTCCTAAGTTCTAAAACCTTTGGTGAACCAAGGCAGTGGGGCTCTTTCTGCAGCCCAGCATCCAGAACAGAACCCATTGCTAACCCGCCTGCCAGGACAGTTTTGCTATGGAGAACGGGTGGCTAGCTGGAACCTTCCTTTCCCCTAACTGCCGGCAGGAGGGAGAAATAGCCAGTGGTTTCCAGTCAGGACATCTTTCCTGGTTGTCATTGGGTCAGAGCCAGCTCTTCTTTCCTGTTTCAGTTGGCTTCAGTCTGTTTATTATCTGTGTAGTTCTCTAAGGGAAGATCAGAGAGCTCATTTCTTCTCTAAGCAGCATGAAGTACCGGGACCCTTTGCTCTCTAGGTCTTCAGGACAGACTCCAAATGCCCAGCCCCTCCTGCCCCTGGGTGGTACACGAGGGCCTGGTTAGTGTGAGAATGGGGTCCAGGACCAGGTGGGGTGTATGTGAGGGGCGTGAGGGTGCGGGTGGGTGTCAGGTACAGGGGTTCGGCACGAATGGTAAATGAATAGGGGTGTGCGTATGTTGGCTCACGGGTGTGGGGGTAAAGATGGGTGTGAGATGCGGGGTAAAGAGTGGGGTGTGGGGGTGTAGGGTACGGGGAGGTGAGGAAGTTTCTAGTGCTGGTTCACCTGTGTCTGAGAGGCTCTGACCAGTGGGAAGATGATCCCTGAAGAGCACCAGGCAGGAGGAGCCCTGAGCAGGACGGGAAAATCAAGGTCAGCTGAGCAGCACCAGCAAGCCCTGGGGTCAGCTACAGAAAGGAAGGGGAAGGAAGCAGACAGGGCCTGGGCCAGGGGAGGAGTTGAGGTTTTCTCTCTGGGTCCTGAGCTCTGAGGATAGCAAAGGTTCCCTTCCTCCTCCCAGGCTCTGAGCCCCCAGGGCAAGGGAAGGAACAGAGCTCCTAGAGGAGCCAGCATCACCCAAAGAGGCTCAGGAACCATTTCTTCTATTCTGCTCTCATCTAGGCCTAACTGACCCCAGGGAACAACAGTAGCTTTAGAACACTTTCTGTATGCGAACAGCCAATCCAGGGCAGACCCCCTTCCACATCTTCTCATCCTCTGGACTCTGGCCCTTGCCGTCCTGCCTTGGGGTCTGGAGATAACCCTCTGAGCCCTGATGTGTCCCTAGAAACCCCAGGCTATGCTCCTGCTCACATCTTCCCTGGTTCCTCTGCCCCTTGTTCCAGGTCCTCCCTCCTGGAAGCCCTGGTGGGAACTTGGTTCTGTATAGCCTATGAGCACTCTGTTGCTGGTTCAAACTCCAGCCCATACCTGTCTTCCTCCACTTCATGTTTTCATCAGTGATGCTGTTCTGACAAGGGCACAGAAGTCCTGGGGCCACAGTTCTAGCCAGGTGAAGGGACCCTAGGGAGGAGGGAAGAAAGAACTAAGACACCCATGGGGACGCTGGGCTCTGAATGTAAGCACCATGCCCAGAGTGTCCAGAGCCACCAGGGCATCTGCTATGAGCGAGAGGGGCAGGGCCTGCGTGGAAAGGAGAGAGAGGGTCACAATGATGTATGATAGGCCACAGGCAGGAGATGTCTCAGTTCCGTGTATGTGCGCATCCTTACCAAGGCCAGCAGGGACTTGCTTGGATCATGCCGGAAAGTTTTGTTTGGTTCCTTACATCTTTTTAAGTAACCTCAGCGTTTATGGAAGGCAAAGGCACGCTGACTGGGACCCACTCTGCTGGATCTGGACTCCATGAAAAGCAGATACAAGTGTATCTATCCTGAAGCAGCTTCACTCTATCGGTGACCAGATGATGACCGTTCCTCCCCACCCCCCGCCTCAGAGTCTCCCTCTATGGGCTGAACGTGGTAGCAGAGGTCCCCACCAGCAGCTGTGGTAAATCAGAGAGTCAGGCTCCCACAGCTGCAGGCAGCAGCCTGGCCTTGAAAGGAGCGAGTGCCACACTTTCTCAGCTTTGAGTGGCAATGGAACCAAGTGGGTCCTAGGTCTGTCATCAGTCCAGATGAGCGAGCCACATCTGCTGGCTGAGGACTTTAAGCACAACAGTTTCCCGGGGACTCTGCCCATGTCATCTGTGAGCCCACAAATGGCTTGTGGTTGGTAGCATTTGTAAACCATGGCTTGGCTTGAGTTTCTTTCTGACCACATTCTCCCTCATACTAGGCAGGAGGTTTGGGCCGCCATCCCAGAGTGGTGGATAGGTGAGAAAGAGGCGAAGGACTCTTCCAGGGTTGGGGTGTGGAAAGCAGCACCAGGAGGAAGAAGGACCTGTGAGGGAGGGCTTTAGTGACCCCGTGGTGACACTCACAGATCTTGAGGGTGTTGCCTACCGCTGAACCTCGCAACAGAAGACAATGTGTGAACCCCTGCTCCGATTCATTTGGGGATTACTGCAGGCCCATCCTTGCTGCGTGGTGCCCTCCTCTTTCTATATTCATTGAACCGTAGAGTCTGAAGAAGCTGATTAGGGAATGCGGGCTCTGAGAACCTGACCAGTGCCTGAGGAGGGTGGGCAGTAAGGGCAGTTGAAAGTTTGAAACCTTTGCAAAGTTCTGGGTGAGGGCTGTCTGTTGTCATGTGCCATGCAGCTGGGATCTGTAGGCACCATGTAGGTGTGGCAGTGCTGTGCTGGGAATAGCTCCACCTGCAGGTGGCTATGACCATACTTTGTCCTTGGGTCTCTTTCTCCTCCACGGTAGAGGCTATGTGCTTATGTATTGGTAAGCCCTCAGCCTCCGATTGGGCTCCTGACACACATAAGGGGTTCAGTAATTACATGCAGAATGAATGAATTCATGCCACGTTCAACCTTCTGCTTGAGGTTTGAGCAAGAATACCGAGTTACAGAAATGTATTCCTTATACTAAAAAAAATTATCTATTTTGTGTGTGCTCCTTGGCGCATGTGTAGAGTTCAGAGATCAATTTGCAAGATTTTACATCACATGGGTCTCAGGGATCCAATGTAGGCGGCCAGGTTTAGCAACAAGCGCTCTTCCCCATTGAGCTATCTCGTGGGTCCCAGAAATGCATTTCTTAAGGGTTAAAGAGGAAATATTAAGAGGCCTGCGTGAAATAGAATGACTGTAACAGCACTTACCAGCTGCTTCCTGGTAGCTGCTCATGCAATTTACTAATCTCAGAACACTGGGATGGGAAAATGGTCTTCGGCGGATACACTTGGACAGCAGCCAGACATCTCATTAGCGTTTACGAGCCCGTCATCTTTGCGTAAGTGCTCGTGGAAATGTATCACGTGAGCCCTTCGCAGAGAAGAGCTTGGGGATCCCCTTTTGGGCCCAGATCTACTTCAAATGCAATTTGGAAAGAGCCAGTTGGGAAAGCTGTCTGCTTGCAGGATGTTATTTCCATGGACGTCTGCGGGCCAGAGCGAGCCTCCGGCTGAGACGGAAGCTGAGCACCGGCTCCAGCTGTCTGGGCGACTGCCTGGGAGCAGGGTACCTGCTCAGCCTCCTCCGGCCTCACGTGTTTCTCAGAGGGCCTGAGTGGGCTGTGGGGCTGCACTGAGCTGCAGAGGATGCGGGCACCAGTCAAAAAAGCTTCTCAGATTTAGGACTAAAGTTAAAAGATGCATAGCAGCCTGTGTAGTAGCCTTTGGTTCCTGGACACAAAGGTGCTTCATATGTCTGGGTTTAACCAAACTCGAGATCTCTGAAGGTATCCATAATTACACCATGGTGAGGGAAATAAAGCACAGATGGGGGTAATTCCATCTGTACCAAGGATATATCAAAGTAGTTGTTGTTATTATTTGGGGATAAGGGCTTACTATGTAGCCCAGGTTGGCTTTGAACTTGAGATCGTCCTATCTCAGATTTCTTAGTGTTGGGATTACAGGGCTATTTCACTATGCCCAGCTCCTTTCTGGAGTCTGAATTGTTGTAGCTAGCGATTGAGCCATTACTACCTTCTGCACATGATAATTGGTCTCCACAGAGGCCCTGGAACTCAGTATTTCCAGAATTAAGACCATGCTTCTCCCCAAATCAGCGCCATTCCTTTTGGCTCCCCAAAGACAGTCTGTTCTGTGCATGAGAGTGGCTTACACCTCTCGTGTTCGAGCTTAGTGATGCTTATTGCAGCCGCTTAGGAAGCTGCCCGTCTCTCGGGTACTAAGTGTCTGGGAACCAGGCAAAGACCTGTGTGTGATTAGCATATTTACCAGCAGATTGAGAGCCAGACTCCTATGGCTCTTTTGCTCGCTAGCCCCATGAACTCTCTGGAACTCACAGTCTTCTCTCTGGCCCTGACATCTACACCCACGGCTACTGCCTCCCCAGTCTGGAAAGATACACAGTGAAGCAAGGACGTGACCACCTCCCTGACATCAGGGACTTTGGTACCTTGGACTGGCCTGCTGGTTTTTATGGGCCACCTTTTTGGGGACAACTGGCTTTGCTGTCCTTGTTTACCACACAGTCCTCCCCACATTCCCCCCTCCCGCCCCGTCCTTTCTATGTAGCACATGCCCTCCATCTTCAAATTGCCCTGTGCGACACAGAGAGAGACAGCAAAGGCAGCGGCTGAGGGGAAACTGAATCCTGGAGCTGACGAGGGAGGGGGCCGTGAACTCCAAGTTCTCCTGTCACAGGTCACAGCAGTCCCCTGGGCTGAATTTTACCTTTTATCTTCTTAAAATGTTAACGTACTATACAGGCTCCAATCTCCTCATTCCTTTCTGGGAATCTCCCTGCTTCTCTATCTCTCCCCGGGGGGGGGGGGCATTTAAATCTTGCTTTCACCATTAGCAACATTTGGAGCTGAACAACTTTAAGTAACCTCTGAAGTGGTTGGAGCTGACATTGTTTTTTTGTTTCAAGATTTCATGCTTATTTTTTTCCCAGTTAGGACCCTGATCCAAACCCTACATTTCAGATTGCACATCTGAGCTTTGGTCCCAGGCCAGTGAGCTCATACACAGTGTTTGTCTTGGCTCCACTGCCTGACCCAGCCAGGAACACAGGCTGGCAGATCAGAGGGGAAGCAAAGCCCAGTTTTGACTCTTGCCAAAGATGTGGTCAGCCAGCCTAGGGCTCCGGCAGCTCCCTTGGGGACATCCAGCCATGCTTGCGGGTCCTAGTTAGCATCTGTAGGTCTTTGCTGCTGGCTTCTGTTCTGTTTAAACCCAACAGCAGTGATGGCTGGGTAGAGATGATCTGAGCAACGAGAGACAGACCGAAAAGGCAACAAACCTCCAATACTCTCCCTGGGCAGATGTCTGGCCCAGGCCATTCCTATTGCAGCACTGAAACGAGCCCATCCCATTTGTGGGATCTGCCTTCCTAGGCTGCATGCACTTAATGTCCACATGTGACCGATACTCCTCTCTGCTACGGGAACCTAGGCCCTGCAAGCTCAGGCTACAGAGCCTAGCCTAAAAGCACACAGTTCCAGAGACTGTAGGATGCAGGTGTTTGGGGGTGCTGAGAAGCTTTCAATTCTGCAGACAACTGTAGACACTGAACTTGGGCTGGGTTGTACAGCATTCATGCTGCATTTAAGGATGTTTGTTTGTTTGTTTGTTTATGAGATAGGGTCTCTGTACGTTCTGGAACTCACTTATGTAGATCAGGCTGGCCTAGAACTTATCAGTCTGTCCCTCGGAGTTCTACATGAGCCACCATGCCTGGCTTGTCCAGTTCCGGTCTGAATCTTGGGAGCGTGTGCAGAGTCCAGCTGCCACTAGTGGCACTCTTCTATGAGGATATATCCTGTGGTTTGCTCACCCAGGGACTCGTATGGGGGCCCAGGGAGGCAGTGGCAGGGCCTTTCAGGGTGGGCACTGGGGTAGAGGAATTCACTGCTGAGCACTCTCTGTGAGTGTGTAAGGAAGGGACTGTGGGGCTTCGGGGATGAGCCTGGGCACTCGTCTAGACATGAAGACCATCCGGATGAGAGGACATGAGTCCATTGGAAGTCTCCTGAATCCGCGCTCGACAGGCCCCAGCAGTCTTCGCTGTGCTCTGAAGCATGCTTCTGCCAAGGCCTTCCCTACAGCGTGGGGATTGATGGAGAGGCCTTGAATTTGAGGGTGGAGTTCTGGCTTTGGCTCTTTTGGGGGCCGTGTTACTGTACTTGACACAGCTGCTCTTGGGAGAATTGCCATTCTCCCTTGACCTGAAGAAGAAACCCTCTCATCCTCATTAGAGCTCCCATCAGCTTTCATTGACAAGGTTTACACTTGGAAGGAACTATTCCTCAGACGTGGACAGACCAGCGCTTGCCTAGCTCATGGACCTGAGGATAAGCACCATGCTTTCAGAGATAGCCAGCCTAACACTTGGCTCATAAATGTCTCTACCATGAAGGTAAACTTGCTTGTAGGTTGTTAAGTGGATCCTTTCTTCCTTCCTTCCTTCCTTCCTTCCTTCCTTCCTTCCTTCCTCCCTCCCTCCCTCCCTCCCTCCCTTCCTCCCTCCCTTCCTTCTTTCCTTCCTTTTTTGGAGACATGGTCTCTCTATTTAGTCCTAGCTGGCCTCAAACTCAGAGATTCACCTGCCTCTGCCTCTCAAGAGCTGGGATTAAAGGCATACGCCATCACACATAGCCATGGATTCTTCTAAGAGATAACAAAACAGGCCACCATAACCTGCTCATCGCAAAGCACCATGCTTCTAGGCCGATGCTTCTAGGGTAGAATTGCTGAGCCCCACACTTGTGTCCCAGGAAGGAGGGGGACATGACAGAGGCTGTGGGCCTTCATGGCTATACTGTCAGCTGTCTCTGACCCTGTGTGCTCCGTTCGACCTGGCAGAGACTTGATGCTCACAGGCAGCCCTTCTTCTGTGACTCACTGTAGGAACTGGGTTAAACCTGGGCAAGCATAGAGGCTGACTGCTACTTGCTTGTCTCAGCCCTGGCCCTTCCGCTCCTGTCCGTGTCTCTCCTCCGCAGACACAGTGCCAGTGGGGATGGGGAGTGAGGATGGTAGCGGGCATAGGGTGGTTCCTTTCTGAGCAAGGGCTCTTATCTTCTCTCTGCTCCCCGCTATCACTGTCCTCTCGTCCCCCCACCTCACACACAAGAGACGAAGAAGGCCGAAAACTCCACCCAGGTCCTGCTGTGTGGAAGCCTCAGAGCCAAACTCACAGCTAACCTTTCTTGAGCTGAATTAATACTATGCTTGGTACCACACGCCTCTGTGCCTTCTAGGACAGCCACCTATAGATTCCATCTCTGTGATTTTCTTTATTACTAGAGCCATGTGCCTCCCAGTCTGCTCCTGACCTCTCTCTAGACTGACCATTAATGCTACGAACTCTCCTTCTGGCAGAGCAGAGCTAGCCAGGAGGGAATCTTATCCCCCAAGATAGGACAAGCTACAAGTTGGCCATCCCCTCTCCCTCCCCATCTCCCTCCCTCAGCCTTTGAAGAATGTTGATAGCTGCAGGAAGACCCGGCTGTGGGACCACCTCGTAGAAGGATCCTCTGGTGGGAACAAAGTGTATTTTGTTTAGGATTTTGCTCCATGGAGATCCAAGATCTGGAGACAGACCCAGGAGGAAGCTCCCAGCAGACTCCTGGTAGGTGGGTGGGGGATAGGGTGGGGCGGGGTGAGGTTTAGCGATTCTGACTTGCCTTCTGCCTGTTGAGAAGCAATGACAATGTTTCCACAAGGGAGTTGTGGGTGTTCTGGCTGTGAGAGGCCTGCATTCGGTCCAGGAGTCTGCTAAGTGACAAGAAGCATCTCAAAATGAGGGGTCTGGGAAAGAGCAGAGGGACACAGGTCTGCCGAGCAGGCAACAGTCTGGAAACCCAAGATGGGCAACTCTGTGGTGGCGCTTCATCTCTCCTGCACTTCTGGGCCTCTACTAAGACCCCTCCTTTGAAGGCTGGATGGTTTCTGCTGAGTCACTGGAGGAGAAAAGGGGTTAATCCATTGCCCTTCTCAGAAGTCAGAAATTAAAAAAGCAAACAAACAACCTTTTGGAAGTTGGAGAGATAGCGTTTTTAGAGCATGTGTTGCTCTCCAGAGGGCTTGGTTCCCAGCACCCATTTCGGGTGGCCTACACTTGCATGTAACTCTTAAAGGTAATCTGACCTGTCTGTTCTGGAGCCTAGGGCACTTACATACATGTAAGCATACACTCACATATACACATATGTAAAAAAAATAAATAAATATTTAAAAACCCTCAGTTAGCTGGGCGGTGATGGCACATGCCTTCAATTCTAGCACTCGGGAGGCAGAGGCAGGTGGATTTCTGTGAGTTCGAGGCCTACCTGGTCTACAGAGTGAGTTCCAGGACAGGTTCCATAGTTACTAAGAAACCCTGTCTTGAAAAACAAGCAAACAAAAGAAAAGAGAAGTAAAAACTCCTCAGTTATTGTAAAAAGTGTATATGGCATAACATGATTGCTTTTCAGACTAAATCACTCAGTCCAGCTGCTTTCATTTGTTGTGTATTTCTGGCGTATTAGCGCCATTTATTTGATTATCTTCATCCAATGCCTGTCACATTGTCCTGGGGACTCATTGATGCCACCGAGAGAATTCTGTAGTAAGAATAACCTCTTCAGTCTTGACACTTCATCTTTTATTTATTTCTGTATGTATGTATGCATGTATGTATGTATGTGTGTGTGTATTTATTGCCTTGATACGTATTTTGGTGGATTTGACCAAGGGAAAGCGTCATAGAACTGAGCCCAATGAGAGACCACACGATCCTAAGGCTGTGGTGATTTCGAGTGTGGGCTGGTGAAAGCTGGGGTGTGCCATAGAAATAATATTCCTACTGAGTCAGGAAGACTTATTGTGAAACTAAAAACATAAACAATCTCATTCATAATTTTTTTAGGGCATAAGGGTGAAGGAGAAGATGTAGTTCAAAGAAAGGGCACAAAGTTGCACCAGGTGGGATAAGCTGGCTCAGCACCGCCTGAGCCTGGCGATAATGGGAGGCTGCTGTATACAGAAGGCTTGGGGTACTGACTTTAGGGGATCTGGCCACACATACAGAGACAGGAAGAGGACTGAATAGTGTGCTCCTTTGCTAGACCCCAGCACTCACTGCACTACACTTACGAAGATGAAAATAAATGCATCAAACCATCAGGCTGTACCCCTACATACGTACGCCTGGAAACAGACTTAGACTTTTCGCTGCATTTATTTAGTGTGTGTGTGTGTGTGTGTGTGTGTGTGCGTGCGCACATGAGTGTGGAGGTCAGAACACAACCTGCAGGCTTCAGTTCTCTCCTTCTACCATGTGGTCCTTAGGAATAGGACTCAGCCACCTTTATCTGCTGAAATACCTCACTGACTAGATATTAGAAAAATTTAAATTAAGTATGTGGCATTGTAATGATTTCAAACAGACTACACTGACAAAAATAGATAGCAAAACATGTGATTTTTAAGTAAGGAAGCTGTTATAAAATGACAAATGCAGCATGAAGCCACTTACTAAATGTTTAAAATGTCGCAGAATGACAGGGTTGCGGCTGTGCACCCACAAAGCCCTTAGTGTTCAACCACGCATGCGCATGATACCTGCACTTCAGGTCGTTCGTCTGTGTTCCCCAGGCTTTCCTGATCTCTGAGCCCATTTGCTGCTAACTCCCTTTGGCATATCCTAACCTGGATGAGGGTCAGAGTCCTCATTTAAAGGTTTTTCTTTAAATTTAAAGATTTAAATGTAAATTACAGATATAAAGGTTTGCTCTCTCCTGGTGATGTAGGGACAGCCCAACAAGCAGAGAAGTTTTCAGAACAGGTGATCACTCATGCCTCTTAAGGCCAGGAAGGGGCAGAGCAAGGAAACATTTCAGCTGCAAGGCCCAGAGCTGGCCTGGATCTTGGCCCTCAGAGGCGGGTCAGTGGAAAGAAGCTCAGGGTGCAGATGGTGGGCCAGCGTGTGCCCAGGGCCTGGCCAGCTCCTCAGGCTTCACTGGTCCGAGTTCCTTCCACTGTGACTGAGGAGAGTCATGCTCACATTCAGTGGTTCACATTCAGTGGCTGTGTAAGCATTTGTCAATGAAACAGAATGAGACATATTGCGCCACATCAGAGCCTAGGCCTCTCTCCTAAACCTGTCTGACCAGTCTCTACTTTGCCTCAGCCAAGATCCTGATTTGTCTTTGGTTGATTGCAGGTGTCCTGACTAAGGAGCAGAAAGTTGGCAGTTCAGTGACCTTCAGAGAGGGATGAGTCTGATGTGGGAAGTTGGGGAGATGTATCCGCTAAGAACATGTCTCTTAGTCAGATCCCAGACAGGACTTGGAAAAGGTCAAACAAAACCTTGGGAGTCTCTTTGGTTCTGCTTGTTCTGGGTCACCTCCCAGGAACTTTGCTAAGACTATAGAGCTGTGTTTTTTAACCCATGGGTCATGACCCTTTAAGGTCGAGCGATCCATCCACAGGGGTCACATATCAGATTTTTTTTTTATGATTTGTAACAGTAGCAAAATTACAGTTATTAAGTGGCAATGAAAATAATTTTATGGTTGAGGTCACCACAGCATTAGGAACTGTATTAAAGGGTTGCAGCGTTAGGAAGGGTGAGACCCACTGCCCTAAGTAATGAGCGGCCAGGCAGGTGAGCTAGCAGCTTCCAGAAGAGAAGGCTTTCTTTCTCTGGGATTTATTCAGTGTTATAGAGAGAAGGGCTTACTTCTGGAGAGGCCCATAAATCACCCACCACCACTTAAATTTCATTTTTTTTAAAATCTTGTTTTCTTGATAAAAGTGAGCAGAGATAAAACCAACCAGCTTACCTGCTGTGGGAGAGCCACCAGGTGCCAGGCCATGCCCTCCCTCTCCCAGCTGCCAGCCGAGCAAGCTGACCCTTGGGAAAGAAACCACGTGCACAGAGGTACCTCTTGTCCCTGCTCCCGAGTCTCTAGGAAGCAGGCAGCTTCCTGCTTCCTCCCCTTGTGTCCAGGTAGCCACCCATTTTCACACCCCACGTTAGATAAACATGAAAAGGGATCCCTGTGGGAAAGCCCCTGACACTTTGGTCTCTGGTAGGCAAGCAAAGAGCTGCAGCAAGATCTCTAACTGTGATCCTAGCAAACCAAGCCGGGCACCCCTGCTGCTGGCTCCACCTCAAACGCTCATGGTGCTACTGAGCCTAGACCCCACCTGGGAACAAGGAGCGACCAGAACCTGTCCTTCAGCCTCCCCATCTGTCTACCGCTTCTCATGGGCCTCCTGGAGTGTCAGCAGGGCCCTGTCTCTGTAGACATTATCTTTTCCAGCCCTCTCGGCCAGCAAAGACCAGATGGACAGAAGGGATGCAGCTGACCCCTGAGTTACAGTCTTAGGACTGGGCTGACTTCCTTGCCCCGCTTTGTTGGGGCTAGTGCAGGGGAGTCGGGCCACTGGTAGTGGTGTCTGCGGCAACGTGGCTTCTGATATCCTTACAGGGCAGCTTGGCTCTGCTCCTCACTGGACCCCAGGCTGTAGTGTTGACCTCGGGTCAACTGAAACAGGAGGCTGCTCACACCAGACCTCTGTAGTGTCACTGACTGGTCCATTGGTGGTGGCTTGCTCTACTGAAGTCCTCTCTGACCTAATGGTGGTGTTGTCCTGAGAGCGTCTGAAGAGGAAGTTCTCCTGCAGCAGTGATCTGGGCCAGGCAGCCATGATGCTGATGTACTCCCTGACATCATGGCCAAGGGACCCAGAGAGCTGAGAGCCACAGACATTCGGCTGTGTCTCTGTCCGTGGGGAACACCCTGCCCAGAGAACAGGGGGTGGTATCAGGCCTGCGGAACCCCATATCAGCCATCAGCGCCTCATCAGCCACACCACCACCACCTTCTCTGTAGGGCATGGAGCAGATGCGACCCCTACATGTCATGGGGCCCCCCATGTTCTCATTCATTTCTTCATTCTTCAACAGACATTTGCTGAGGACCTGCTGCGGGGTGGCTGCTTTGCTGGCGGGATTCACACTAGAGTGGACAGCAAATATCACGAGGTGACAGTGTCTGTGGTGGGCTTGTGACCAGCGCTGGTGCACTGAGACTGCACAGGAAGATAGGTAAGGAAGCCGTGGGGGGAGGGGGGGCTGCTGACACACACACTGGTCAGCATCTTATGTAGATTCATGCAAGAGATAGCAGGAGGAAATGTCTTGGGGCTGTGAAGGTCTTGGTGAGGTTGAAGGACCGAGAGGAAGCTGTGTATCAAGAGGCCGAAGGGCAGAGGGCAGCTTAGTGGACTGAGCTGTATGACATCGGGCTTTCCAGGCGTGAGCTGCACTGCAGACTTTAGCCACAGTGTGAAGTTATTGGAGGTTTTTAAACAGGAGGACATAGCCTGATTTGCATATTAGGAAAGATTGCCCAGCTGCTGGGTGAAGCCGCCTTTTAAAAGCACAAAAATAGAAGTAGGAAGACCGGCTCGGAGGGTATCACAGCAATCCAGGCAGGGAATAATCACTGTTATTATCCCCAGCTCTCAGAGGCGCTCGCAGCAGGTAGTAACGCGTGCATTTGCATGGCGAATCTGTGTGGAAGCCTTTCTCCTGTCACTTCGCGGGAACTTCAGAGCAACCTTGGAATGGGTCAGCTGACACTGGTTCCTGGCCTAAAATGAGTCTCCAAGACATTGGTCCTAGGTAAGGTCAGACTTTGTTGGGTGCCGGGAGCCTGGCTTAACCCTAGGCCTCTTGACCTTCCTGGGTTCTGTCCAATTCCTGAATCCCCAGGCAGAGTTCCTCAGGTCAGAAGGAGTAAGTGGAGTGGCCAAACTAGGTAGTCAGGTCCAGAGTCCTGCTGACCAGAGCCTAAGGGGCCTGGGAGGAGCCAGGGTGCTGGGCTCTACTAGAGCTACGTCATATGGCAAACACGGTACATGAGACATGCTTTGGCTTCCAAGCGCCTAAAATCTAGTCTGAAACAAATGGAAGACTTCAATAAATAATTGAAGAATGTGCTGCAGATGAAAAGGCACACATACAAGCAAATATCTTTAGGAGGAAGCTGGGTCTTTTGCTTGGGACAAATGGATCTGAATACTATTTCGAGGCCAGAGTTTTCACTTGGACCGTGACAGTCTCCTGGGGCAGTTACTGGCCTGCTTAACAAAGTCACCCACATCATTTGATCCACACTATACTGAAGCAGTCCTTACTCAGTGCCCCCAGTACTGCCCAGCAAACTCCCCCCATTCTTCGTGTCTAATACAATCACGGCTTTGTTGACCTCATGAATTCTGTGCCTCAGGAATTTGGAAGGTCAGACTGGGAATGGCCGGGCTCTGACTCAGCATGCCTAAGCCTCAGTTCTGAAGTTCACTGGCTAGGTGCCAGAACCTGGGACCCTTCGACAGTTATGTGGCAGGCGATCTGGCTGGGGAGATGCCAAAGCTGAGCTGAACCAGCTGTTGTTCAGTGTGTTTCTACGGGGTCTCTCCACGGACTGGGGGATCCTCGCTGCATCTGGGACCCAGGAAGTCCTGCTTCAGCCATGCAAATCAGAGCTCCCACTGTGAGGGCTATAGGGAAGGCAGAAGTCACCTGGCTTCTATGTCCCACCTGAAGGTACCACCACCCTAGTCACCAAGGCACGGCACGACACAAGGTGCACTGGCGTGTGTACCCACACTAGATGGGTTCCAGGGCCCTGCCACACGCCGAAGGGAACATCAATATTCAGCAAGTGAAAACCACTCTATTGTGAAGGTTTAATGAAATCAGGAACCGAGACTTGTGCTGGGTAGTTTATAGCTGTAAACCAAGGGCAGCAGAGGCATTGTTGAATGAATAACAGCACAGAATTGGGCTGTGGGATAATCAATAAAGTCCTGAGATTTTAGCCCATGGACCGGAACACAGAAGTACTTGTTATTACCTTGGGGAGGGGGGGTGGAGTAGAGGACCTAGCTCCTGAGTGTGCAACATGAGCAGGGCTGTCGTGAAGACAAAGGAAGGGCAGCAGTTGGGTGCCTGGCCAAAGAGCATCAGCGAGGATGCTGTCTGGAAGGTTCCTTCTCATCAGGTTTTAAAGGAGGGAAGGAAAATGTTTACGTGGATGCTGCTTTCAAATGAATCTCTTCTGATCAAGGCAAGCCTTATGTTTGGAAGTATTTAGGGAGAATTAATAGTTACTATGTTCTTGAGATAAAAATAGAAAGAGGTTGGGGAGAGAGAGAGGGAGGGAGGAGGGAAGGGGGAGGGGGTAGAGAGAGAGAAAGAGAGAGAGAGAACACTGAAAAAAGAATAAAAGAGAGTGCCCTAGAGAGGAAAAATCAGAGTGTCCACGTGAGAAACACCAAGGAAAGTGTGCTTTGGTTGTCTAATGCTTCCTCGGGTCCCCAAGGTCATCACCTTCAAGACCGATACCAAGTTTCTATTGTTTCAGAGTGTGTGACAGAGAGGAGTAAATCCCTGTCAGAAGAAAGATGTGATGTGGGTGTGCACTGTCTTGGGTTTCTAGCACTGTGATAAACACTGACCAAAAGCACCCTGTGGAGGAAGGGGTTTATTCGACTTCCATATCCTAGGTCGCAGTCCACTGAGGGAAGCCAAGGCAGGGACCTGGAAGCACGAACCGAAGCAGAAACCGTGAAGGAACACTGCTTACTGGCTTCTCAGCCTGCTTACGTACATCACCCAGGGCACCTGCCCAGCGGTGGCACCACTCACAGGTGCGGTGGCGCACACCTTTAATCCCAACACTCCGGAGACAGAGGCAGGCGGATCACTGTGAGTTCAAGGACAGCCTGGTCTACAGAGTGAGTTCCAGGACAGTCAAAGATACACAGGAAAAAAAAGGCAAAAATTAAATAGAAAAAGAAAACAATAGAGTTTAAAATAAAGCCATGTAAAGATGAAAAATACCCAGAGAGTTTGGACACTGCATGCTATTGTGTTGTCTTTAAATTGTCCGATGGATGAGGAAGGAGCAAAAGCTGCTAAAAGATATTTGATTATAAATGCTGCTGGATCAATCCAACACACACACACACACACATATATATATATATATATATATTTAAAAAATTATTTATTTATTATGTATACAACATATCCTTCCAAGTATGCTTGCATGCCAGAAGAGGGCACCAGATCTCATTATAGATGGTTGTGAGCCACCATGTGGTTGCTGGGAATTGAACTCAGGACCTCTGGAAGACCAGTCAGTGCTCTTAACCTCTGAGCCATCTCTTCAGACCCAACATATATATTTTAAAAATACCTTGACTTCAAAATTCAAGTCAAAAGATATGTTACTTTGGAGAAGAGGTTTTGCTTTTGTTTCCACAGGAATTGAGAGGCTGTGGATTCATTCTGGGCTAAGAAAAAAATCAGGTTTGATCAAGGAAGACCCTCTGAAGAATCTCCTATCGGACCAGATGGTCCAGATGGTCCAACATTTCAGACAACCTCTGTTGGAGTTTCCTCTGAGTTCTGCATCCAGAGCAGTTTCAAGACTACTGGTTGAGATGACCAAATCTCACAGTCAGGACTTGACCATAATCTTAAATTTTTTTTAGGTCCCCATAAGATTATCAGTGTACCCAGTCAGCAGATAGTATCCTGGAAAACTACGCCCACATCCCCCCCAATGGACTACAGATGTTTTTCTTTTTTAGAGCGTTGGTCACAAGTTGTATGGATAATGGTCAGGAAGAAAGCTAAATAAGGGAGATTCAATTCAGAGTTCTTGTTTTGAAAAAAAAAGGGGGGTGCTGTGGGACAATGGTTTTGCCCTGTAAAGATTTATTTCTTTTACTTGTTTAATAAAGTGCTGATTGGCCAATAGCCAGGCAAAATATATAGGTGGGACAACCAGGCAGGAAGTAGAGGTGGGGCAATGAGAACAGGAGAATTCTGGGAAGAGAAAGAGTCAGTCTGCAGTCATCACTCAGACACAGATGAAGCAAGATGAGAATACCTAGCCACATGGATAACATAGACAAGAATTATAGACTAATATAAGTTATAAGAGTTAAAAAGAAAAGCCTGAGTTAATAGGCCAACCGGTTTATGATTAATGTAGACCTCTGTGTGATTCTTTGGGATTGAATGGCTGTAGGGCCAGAAATCTCAGTCAATACACAGGGGTCTGAGCATTCCCAGACCAATCATTAATTTTAAAAAAATACTCTATAGACTTGCCTACAGGCGATGTAATGGACATATTTTCTCAACTGAGGTTTCTCTTTTCAAACACATATAGGTTTGTGTCAAGTTTACAAAACCAACCAATACCTAAAGAAAACAATTTAGGTTGATCTGACCCCTCCCATCATTTTTTAGGAGTTTTATGAGACATAACTCATCCACTATGAAATCTGCTGATCTAAAGTGCAAATTGGTTATGATTGGTATAGGCACAGCCATTCAACGACCAGTCCATTTTAAATTAGATGCTCTGGACATACTAGCTAGCTAGATTAACCAATCAGCAAGTTCTGGGTTCAGCAAGATACCCCGATTCAGTAAATGAAGAGGAGAATTATGGAAGAGGACCCTCAAAGTCAGTCTACGGCTTCCACATGCAAGTGCATATGTGTGTTCCCAGATACCCACACACACATTTGGACATGTATTTGTGCACCAAACACACAGAGAGAGGGGGGCAGGGGGAGGGAGGAAGGGAGGAAGGACTCTGTTCCCATTAGCAGTCACCCCCATTACTCCACACTTCCCAGGCAAACACTGATCCACTTCTGTCTCTATTCTGGATATTTTTCACAAACCCATGCAAAGTGATTCTTCCATCTGGCTTCTTTTTCTTTGTGTGATATTCTCAAGGATCATCTGTGTCTCTGCCTCACCCCTCCCCACTGAGGGATAGCAATCTCATCGCATGCTTTTCTCATATTTTATTTATTCATTTAGCAGTTGATGGACATCAAATGGTTCCTATTTTTGGTTCTATGAATAACACTTCTATGAACATTCTTCTGCAAGCTACACACATACGTATAAGTATACTTCCCCCCGACCCCAATGCACACTTGAACACACATAGACATGAATAGAATGCTCTTCCCATGTTGGGAATCCAGAAGCCTAAGTAGTGGGAGTCTCTGCACGGCTCAATAAGGAGGCAATTTTCCCCACAGAGACCAGTGCAAACCTGGGCAGCTCAGCCACTTCCTTTAGTTAGGCTGTGAGTTTCGACTCAGCCTGGGGTGAGTCAGGAAGTTAACCCCATTCTGAGAATGCCTCTAACCTTGCTGGGTGTTCCTCACAGTTGACATGAATACAATGAGTAACACAGTCCTACAGGGCTTCTCGGCTCTAAATTCCTCGAATTTTGTCCTGTGTGATGTCTTCTCGTCAGGCCTGCCTAGGGCATGCTTCTGGAAAGCTGCCTTTTCTTGCTTCTGTCAGTACAGCTGGGGTCACTTCCTGCCACGTGTCCTGCAGACCTCAGGGCCTGGGCCAAGTGTGGAGAAAGGGCAAAGAAGGGAGGCAATGAAGGGGGTGAGGGATAAACTCCTTCCTTCCTGTGGACTGGTAAAGCTCCGGAAAACCTGCTTCCCCACCAGCCTGTGGTATGGCCCTGGTCTTCGTGTGGAGTCAGCTTTGCTTAGGCCGGTCCCACCACCCCCTGATCTCGCGTCCAAGCTTTGGGATGGCACAAAGATGTCCCAGGAGTAGCCTCAGGCTAAAACAGAGGAGCCTGTCAGAAAGCAGCCATTCAACGACATGCAGGCCTATTAAGTATTTTTCAACTTCAGGGAACTGATGGGAAATACACACAGGTTCAAATACACACATGCAGGGAGCGGGGAGGGAGAGAAGGAGAACATCAAACACCTTGGTTACGCACTATCAGCGCTACCCCTTAAGGAGCGCACCCCCAATGTTTTCTTATTGTTTCCCTCCTCCCACAGATGGTCCTCAAAGGGTCAGGCTGACTGCGCAGGCTTCCTGTTTGACATCCTCCACTGGTCAATAACATCCCAACTCCTCAGCAGAGTTCAGAGGCCCTGGCTGGTTCTTCCATACCTGACCTCACTGGATCCCACACAGGGGCTTCGGCACATTCTGCACACACAAACTGTCAGGGTCTCAGAAGGTGGTGACTCCATCCGGGTCTGCCAAGAGGTGATTAGGCTAGAAGGGCGCTGTTAGCACGTCTGGCCCAATGATCAGGGCGCAAACTCACATAGAGACCCCCTATGCGGCTAGGAAAGACAGCATCGGCAAGCCTGGAAGAGGGGCCTCGGGAGGTGCCAGGCAGATGACTGTTCTCTCTCACACTTCAGCCTCCACAGCATGAGGCATAAACCTCATCTGAGGCTTTAGCTGTAGTCTGGATACCCGCGTATCTGGTGGGTGGGTGATGCTGTGCAGGCAGACAGCTAGCATGTGCGGCCTTGTGTCTGCATTTTGCCTTGCCGTGGTGCCCATGGGGAGCTAGAGTGTCTCACGGCGGCACTGTGCCACAGCACAGGAAAAGACAGTAGCCCCTGGTGGGTAGGACTAGGTTCCCACTCCTTGCACACTGAGCCTGAGGTCCCCATGTCCTCCCTTCCCCAGATCATGGACACAGGCCAGGGACAAAATTTCTTCCTTTCTCCTCTCCCACTGTCCAGGTGTTGCCCAGTGGCTGTACCCCCTATCCCTAGGGATCCAGAGGGGCCAGATTTCACCTCACCTGTCATAGCTGCTAAACATCTCTGACTGGAGCTAGCTCCCTGATGGTCTCAGTCCCTCTGATGCTCTTGAAGTCCAATGGATCATCCTAGAAGTCAGGCTTGCCTGTCCCCAGAACCCAGCTCTGTGTGTGGACACAAGAAGGCAGTCTCCACCCCACCACTTAGCTTCATAGACACAAGCAGGCCCTGCACGGCTAAGACAGACTGTTTAAAACAGTCATCTAGATTGAAAATACATTACATCACTCTTTTATCAAATGCTAATCTTAAAAGGAGTGGTAGTTCCAGAATATCTGTGCCAAGCAGTGTACACTGGTGGGCACACAGGAGGTGATGTCTTCCAGGCAGTGGGTAGCTCCCCTGAGCAGAGATGGGTATAAGATCTGCCCTACAGGTTGTTCAGAGGAGATGAGATCCGGCTGTTGCTAAATAGGTGATGTCTGTGGATTTGTGAGCTCAAGGACTCGAACATATATTGCTGGGGAGGTGGCGGGGGAGGCAGTGTTGGGGTGGAGGGAAGTATGGAGCTCAGGGCTTAGAAAATGAAGTTGTCTCTGTAGGCTGCCGGGAGTCACCACAGGTTTTTAGGTAGTGAGAGGCTTGGGAACACTGATGCGCAGGGGCGGCTCTCCCAGGTTCATGCAGGAGCTCTGACAGAAATAAAAACAGTGTCACCCTTGCCAAAGTTCCACGTCACCAAACAGAATGTGAGCTGTGGTCAGACCTTCCAAGAAAACAGGAGAAACGAGAAACTGCAGCCAAGTTCCACACGCAGGCCAGTTCCAGTTGGCAGGATACCGGCGCGCTCTCCTCCCCATGCTACAGAGAGAAGGTAACCTAAAGAAACCCAATGCTAGCGCTCAGTTTCCTAGTGCTTAGCCTCCCAGTCTGCACCTTAGAAGGAATCTGAAACATCCACTCAGCTTCTTGTTCATTGTTTCACCTTTTTCTGTAGCTCTGTGCTTGTTGGGGCATGGTGGTGCCCGCCTGTCACCTCGGCTTTTGGGAGATGGAAGCAGGGGGATCAAGAGTTCAAAGTCTTTTTTGGTGACATAGCAAGTTACAAAGCCATCCTAAGCTACGTGAGAACCTGTATTAGAAATTCAAAGTATGCAGGTGGTGGTGGCACATAATTTTAATGCCAGCACTCGGGAGGCAGAGGCAGGCGGATCTCTGTGAGTTCGAGGCCAGCCTGGTTGATCAAGCAAGTTTCAGGACAGCCAGGGCTACACAAAGAAACCCTGTCTTGAAAAATCACCCCCCCCCCAAAATTAAAGTATTAGTTTATTAATTTAAAAATGAAACAAAACCCTGACCTCCTCCATTTAGCCAGCAGAGCCTCCTCCTCTGGGGCACGAGTGCTCTCTCTGTTCTAAGATTTCAAATTGTAGTTTTGTCCTCTGGTGTTCATTTTACCCAGTCTTCCCTTCAGTGGGAACTCTGGTTCCAACAACGGCCAACTGCTGCCTAAACCTAACATAGCCCAAGTTCTTTTAACTCTCAGACCCTCCCACTAGGCCTCTGCCCCTTCACCTACAGGTTCCAAACTGTAGTCACTTGAAATGAGGCTTCCTCTACAACTGACCTCTTGGCTGCTGACTGTGCCCCAGGCCCCAGCAAAGGCTGCAGTAGGTACCTGTCAACAAGCCTCACTACAGAGAGAGAGAGAGAGAGAGAGAGAGAGAGAGAGTTTTTAAAATACAGTAAATCTTCCATTAAGTGGCAAAAATGATTATTCTCTGAAGCTGAGAAGGAGACAGATCTACTCAAAAGTCCTGTGAACCAAATCATATAAAAATATAGAAATGTGTAAGGGTTACTAAGGGATCAATCAAACTATCATAATTTTCTCTCTCTCTCTCTCTCTCTCTCTCTCTCTCTCTCTGTGTGTGTGTGTGTGTGTGTAAAATGCACACTTATCTATATACCATCACCTACTGGAATTAATTCATTGATTTCACAAGGCTTCCAGGCACTATGTTAGAGACACAAAAGACAATGGCCTCCATGCCACAGCTTCCACGGACTTTCACCCGTGGCTTGAACGCAGATGCTTTGGACCGCCCACATTTCTCTCCTGAAGAGCAAAGGAACAGTCATGGATCCCAGATGGAGCTCTTGTGGAAACGGACTGTACCAAGAACCAGCGTCCCCTCCAAGACCACTGGGTGAAACCGACTGTGCACTATCCAAGGTTCTCTGAATTTGGGGAGGAGACAGAGCTTTCATCCATTTTAGAGACTGTAAATCCCAGTCTCAACTGCAGAAGGCTGTGGACCTGCCAGTACGGGATCTCACTCTGTAGCCATGGCTGGCCTGGAGCTTGCCAAATGGAGCAGGTTGGTCTTGAACTCACAAACATCTGACTGTCTCTGCCTCCCCATTGCTGAGATTAAAGGTGTTCATCACCACAGCCAGCCTGTAATGTATAGGTTTTTCTAAATTTTATACTGATGAAATTATTGTAAAGTATGCATTTTAAAAATAACCACATCAAGGAGAACAGAGTAAAATATAAATCTACTAATTCTAATCATTATAAAAAAAGTATAAAATGTCTCTATGTAATGATTTACTTCTAAACTAAAATGGATCTTAGTTGTTTGCTAAAGAGACTGGCTTTCCTGGATTCGGAGACAGGGAGATACAAAGTACTTTTTTTTTCTTTTCCCAATTGCAAGCTACAAATTCAGTTTGCTTCTGAGCGCAGAGGAGGGTGGATTTCTGGAGAGCTCACAGAATGTCCTTGTTTGGCTGTGGTGTTACACATTCAGAGGTAGGTGTGCACACACATGCGTGTGCGTGTGTATGACTGGAGGCCAAACTGCTGCCCTTCCCCTCACTCTCCACCTTTCTTCGCTGTCCCCTGCCTGCACCGTCCCTGGTCTGGCTTTCTTTGAGACAGGGTTCCTCTTTTTACCTGAAGATCATTGATTCAGTGAGGCTGACTGGCCAGTGAGCTTAAGGAGTCTTCCTGTCTCCATCTTATCCTACTTCCACAATGAGGTTAAAGCATTGCCCACCCACCAGGGCTTTAAACGCGGGCTCCAATAAGATGAATCCAGGTCTCCAAGCTCGCATAGCAAGCCTCACACACTCAGTCTGACTGAGTGTCACACGTTGCTGCAGATGGTATTCTTTGAATGGTGTTTGAGCAACCCTTGAGCTGTAGGAATGGCTGTTCCTCCCCCTGGTAGAGGTGACTGTCCCTACTTTCCTTCTCTCTCTGGCCTGCACATAGCACATTTTATATACAGACTAACTTTACATGGTACATGTCCCCACCAGATTCCAATGTGAATAAATCATGTCTTTGCAGCTAAAAGAAAAAAGGACACTTGTTATTTTTAGATAACACCAACAAGCAATTATTGAAGAAGTTAAAAGCAGTTTCTCTTTTAATTACAATTATTTTGTGTGCTGTGTGGAGGCCACAGGACAACTTTCAGGAGTCAATTCTCTTCTTCCCCAGACTTCTCAGGGTTGAGCTCCGGTTGTCAGGACTACATGGCAAGCCCTTTTATTTGCCGAGCTGTCTTGCTGACCCCAAAGCAATTTTATTTAGTTCAAACAGCTAAGCATAAATAGGACAAAAGATATGTTAAAAAAAATCTACAAAGAATCTATAAAACATTCTTGATATGCTGAAAAAAACTAAATAAATGGAAGAAATCCCTATATTTATGGGTCAGTTACTGCTTCCTCCAAAACAATCTGAACAGATTTAATGAACTACTAATCAATATCCCACCAGGATATCTTGTAGAAAGTGACACGCTGGTTTTATAATTTATACAGAAGTATAAAAGGACAAAAACTGCTAAGGAAAATGTAAAGGCAAACCAGAGTGCCTTCCCTAGGAGACATCAGTACTTAAAAAGTAGCCGTAATGAAGACAGTATAGTACTGCAGCAAGAATATACAGATGGAAAATAGCTTTGAAAATATTTAACATTGAGTCTATTGAATATCCAGAAGATAATAAAATTATAAATAATAAAAATAATGATTTAAAAACATTTATTATCATTTCACTTATGTGAATATTGTGTATGTGTGTCATGTGCGTGAGAGTGCCTGTCGAAGCCAGACAGGAGTGTAAGGGCCTGCAGCTGGAGTTACAGACAACCGTGAGATGCCTGGCATGGGTGTTAGGAACTGAACTTGGACTCTTGGCGAGAGCAGAACATGTCCCTAATCACTGTGCCGTCTCCTCAATCTCATAAAAACTGTTTTTTATGGAGTCGCGAGGCTAGCCCTGAACTCTGGGGCTGCAAAAATCTTCTTGCCTCAGTCTTCTGTGATGGGGCGGGGGCTGGGACCCCAGGCATGCCACTGCTCCTAGCACATGCAAAAATCTAGGTCTTTGTCACTCACAAAGAGCAGTCTTGGTGGATGGGAGATCAAATGTGAAGATGAAGACACAGGCTCACAGAGCACGCTGCTGGAGAGCATCCCATGTGGCCGAGGGGAGCCTAGCAGACAAAGGGAAGATGGATACACTGGCCAGAATTAAAATGTATAGGTTCTATTCACCAAAACCCACCACTGAACGAATGAAAAGATTCTGCCCCAGCAACCGAGGGCACAAAGAACTCCTACCGATGGATATGAAAAGGACAGACAGCCTTGTGGCGGCCACGCGAGATCTGAGCAAGCACTTGGGAAAGCAGCTGTTTAAATGGTTAATGAACTATCATTATGGAAATTCAGAAAAAAAAAAAAAAAGCCAGGGAAAAGGAGAGCGAACCTGTCTAGCAAGATGGCAGTATCACACTCATCCACCACTGCTGGGGTGTTTGTGTGTCAGCCCTGCTGGGTGGCCAATAGCCCGACTCACCCGATGCTTCTGTTCCCAGATCTGTCCACCCTTCCTCATGGTCACAACGAAAGGCTTCCTGTTAGCATCTTGGTAGTAGCTCAGACCCAGGCAGCGCCTGAAAGTCCTTCTGTGGCGGAACACCTGGATGAATGGTGCTGGGCTCACTCAGTTGACCCTAAGTAGTTGTGAACTGACAGACACAGATGAGCAAAAGATACCAGCAACAAGAGCACAGTCTATAAGGCTCCATTCCTGCCAAGGCACGCCCCGCTCACAGCTGTGGAAATGAGTCTGAGGTGCACTCTGAGGAAGAAGGGGCCCTAGGCAGTGTTTGCTGCTTCCTGTGACCTGAACTGTGCTCACTGTGGACTGCCCATGGCTGCACGTTTGTAGCGGAGAATGTTCCAGTGTGCTGGCCACGTGTTGGCATTGGCCAAGATTATTCCATTTAAAGAGAGAGCTGGGGAGCTGGGTCCTTGTAAAAAGGCACTTCCTGTGCAAAGCTGGCAAGCTGGGCATGATCCCAAGACCCCACGGTGGAAGGAGAAACTTATATCAAAAGGTTGTCTCCTGACTGTCCCAGGGGGTGTGTCAAGTACCCCCACCCACATATCATATACACACAATAAAAAGTGCAAAATATAAAAAAAATAAAATTATTAAAGGACTAAATGAAGGCTGGGTTGGTGCCACTGCAGCATTTCTGTGGAGGGGTAGGGTTGGGGTTCACCATTTGCTCAGCCTCAAGCATCATCTTGGCAGAGCACAGTGTGGTACAAATGGCCCTTCATATGGCTGCTGAGGCCCTGACAGGGGAGAAGAGGCTCATAGCTCACTCACACCACACACCTCATGCAATTCTGCCCCAGGGTCCTCAAAGCTCTTGCTTTTCACCTCTTCTCTCCAGTGGTGAGATCTCCCTGGCTATGTCTTTCCTGCCCTCAACCTGCCCTGCGGTGGTGACTTTTCCTTGGCCCCACAAACCTGAGCTTGACTCTGTCTTGGGAATCCCTACATCACTAGAGAAGAAAGGGAAACAAATCCCGCACTCATAAACACTGTTCCGGGATGGGGAGCGTCCCATGAAACTGATACTCTTTAAGGCATCTAGAAGTCTACATATTTAAAAAACCCAGAGCTTTTTTAGAAGCAGGAGAATGTAATACACATACAAACAGACACAGGAGAAGACAGACAGACACACACAAGAAAACTGGCATGCACATACCTCCTTCTAAAACAGATTGACTGAAATTATGTGTTTTGAATTTTCACATTTAACAAGCTCTCTGTCTTAACCCCCTTCCTTCCTCCCCACTATACACATGTAAAACACAGTAGCAGTGCAGAGAATTTTATTTAAAAACACACTGAATGTCTAAATGTGTATGTAGGCTCAGGATGGGCCAGCAAGGTTTCTTCCCTCCTCTGCCCTGCCAGGGCCTCAGCAGCCGTAGGAAGTGTCTTATTTCAAGACTGGGGTTTCCTGCAGGCTGTCTGCCACCTCTGTTCTTGCCCAGGCCTGGCCCTGGGAAAGGACAATGACAAGGCGGTAGGATCCGCAGATGCTTGTGGGAGCTCTTTGGGCTGCCTGGCAGAGGCAGGTAGCTAGAAGGGGGCACTGAGCAGGGGGGATTCCTGCTTATCTGTCTTCCCTGCAGGGTCCGAACACACCAGGCAGCTGTGCCAGAGGGCACCAGCCTTGTCTCGCCTTTCCATCCATTGGCTGACTGTGGCATCCGAAGGGTTCCGCCAGGAACTGAGAGCCTGGGGACCTGAGCATCCCATCCTGTGGAGGTTGGGCGGAGGTGTGCTTCCCCTGTCAGAGCTCAGCTTGCATTCAGAAAACCTGAAAAAGGCAGAGTCACATTCCTTCTAGGTGAGATAGCGAGCTCCACATGGTGAAAACAGTCTGAGATGAAATGTGTTCGCATGCTTTGGAAATGACTGTTCCTGCAGGAATGCGGGGATGAGAGGAGATAGTGTCCGCTCCAGGTACTGTCTGGGACATTGTACAAACAGGAGGCCAAAGTCTCTCTGGGGGCTTGTGGAGAGAATGCCCCCATCCTTCCCTCCCTCTGTGATCGATAGTGGATGATTGTGCCTGCCTCCTGGGCTGCCCAGACCTGACCCCTGCTTTGACCTGGGCCGGCCCCAGCTAGACTTCATTCTTGGCCGTCACTGTCTGTATAACCATTCTCTTCTGCTGCTTAGACTCATGGGTGGGGAGGGGTGGGCCACATCATCTCTGCTTATCTCTAAACAAGACCCACATGGTGGGAGGAGGGAACCAACATCTCCACAAGTCCTCTGACTTCTACATCTATGCCTTGGCCCACGTTCACACTTGTGTGCAAGCTTGCACACACATGTAAAAAAAAAGTTTAAAAGATGACTTTTGGATGCCTCTGAATTCTTTGTCTAACCATCCAAGAGCATTCCTTTTGTTCCCAGCTGTAGCAGGGACAAGAAATTGGATGCAGACAAAAGCCTGGATGATCTCTGATGACAATGGAGTCGAGACTGCACAGAACTGGGAAGTCATGGGCTAAGTGACCTCCACCCAGGAACTTCTGGGGATTTTCATCTGCTGAAGAGAAGAATATTTTCTCCCAATACATATGTCTTCTACATATTCTACACCCTCCAGTGTTTGTTGAGTGTTTGAAAACCAGGCTTTTGGGGACAGGTGATAGGACTCAGCGGGTAAAGGGGTTTGCCACCAAGCACGATAGCAAAATGACCTGAGTTCAATCCCCGGATCCCACATGGTACAGGGAACGACTCTGAGGTGCTCCTCTGACCTCCACATGTGCACCGATGCGCGCACACACACACACACACACACACACACACACACACACACACACTTAAAATGATAAACGAATTTAAAATTTACAAAAATATGGGCTTTCTCTGCAAGCAAAAGCGAAACAGAATTGCGGCAACTGCCTCGGTAGGGAGTAAGAAGCTGCTACCGTATCCTCAGATTTCTTTAGTTCTCCCGTAAAATCATCAGAGCCTTGTCCTCTTCCCAGGTCCTAGGGATCCGGTCAGTCTCCCCGTTCCCCAGCTTTGTCCCTTACTTACAACCCCTCTGGGAGCGGCACGAGTGTGCTGCCTGTGTCCTGGGAGTCCGGCAGGTGAGACTCAGTGCTGCCTGGAGAGAAACTGGGTGGGGCAGCTGACAACGGAATGGCGACAGCGCGGTGTGAGATCATCAGTCACCCAGCCTTGTCCCTAGAGTCCCCCACTGGCTTGTCCCCCTGTGGCCATGGGAAGCTGCTGTAATCCCCACCATCAGAGACAGAGAAGGGTGGACACCAGAAACCCATACAGTGGAAGCCCACAACGCAATGAACTCTGGGAAAGTGACATGGGGAGGGTGTGTGTGATGGTGGTCTACTACCCTGTCATATCCCAGAGAGGCCAATGCTACCCAGGAAAGGGCTTTGCAGATCCCTATATCCCCAAACTTAGTGAGGTGGCCTTTGTTAGAGAACAAACTGTGTTCAGCTGCGTTCAGCTGTGGTCTCCAGATTATGGCAGAACCGACAGTATCTGTGTCTCAGTGCTGCGCCCGTGGAAGGCTCACAGCGTAGTGTGCTGTCCACACTGGTGGGGATGCCGCTGGGAGTACGCTTGCCCACTGGACAGCACGCTCACCGCTCCATCTGCTGCCTTTTCCTGACAGTGGGAGCAGACAGCTGCCCCCGGCCTATGCATTTATCACTCTCTCCATCATGAGCGTAAATTCCAGCAAATAAAAACAAGTTTGCTGGAACACAGCCTGCGATGTCACAGCAGCAGTGGTCTCGGACCTCTTCCCGGGCCTCCCGGTGTACCCAAGAGGCCCGACCAGTGAGCTCAACCTGTCTTGTCCAGGTGTCCCAGTCACCCCAGGGAAGTCACACGGTAATGAGTATCTCAGAGATTCTCACTCTTGTTGAATGACACAAGCCTGTAACTGACACCAGGTGTCATGAGACCAAAGTCGCAAGCAAGGGAAAGCATGTGACATCAGCGAGCCATTCTATGGGGAGAGATCACTGAGCCCTGTTTGGACACCTGTCCTGTGAGGTCACACTCCTTATTTTCTGCTCAGTCCTTTTCTCCACTGCCAGTCCTTGTCTGAGCGAGGGTCTCGGGGACCGTGAGTGAGTCCACGGAGCAGACAA